GCAAACATTGTTGTTGTTAAGTGCCATCTAGTCAATTCTGACCAATAGCAACCCTTTGTAGGATTTCCAAGGAGCAGCTGGTGAGTTTGAACCATTAATGGTGGTTTTCAGAGCCAGCTCTGCAAATGTTTCCATATGGGAACAATGAGGCTGCAATTCTGATGATGACCAGCTGCCTGTGCTCTCCACCCCACAGCCCTCTCTATGCTCTGCCAGTCACACTCCAGCTCATCTTCTCTCTCCCAAAACCACAGCGTTGGCATCTCATCTGAATCACAGGAAATTAGTTTTCTTAAGGTTAATATCTTTTCTAAGTTCCTAACTACATATTGTTTTTTGTTCTTAAGTATTATATTTGTTTATAGAGAACGTGGGTCATTTTGTGCTCCCTACAGAATCTGGCCTAGTGATGGGTATAATAGTACTTGCTTCAAGAATACTGGTAAGAAAAATCAAGGTCAAGAATCACTGGGTCCACTCTCTAAATTCCTCTACAATGGTTTGTCACTAAATGATATTAGACAGCACACAAGCCCCTCAGTCCTCAAGAGCCTGAGGGCTGATCTTATCAATGCTGGGAAATGAGTAGCATGGGAACCCCTACTAGACAGCTGCTTCCCTCTGACACATGTCAAAGCCATGCTCTCAGAGTAGAACAGGGTTCCATAGGGTTTTCATTGCTCTCAGAGGAGGACAGGGCACCATAGGGTTTTCATTGCTCTCAGAGGAGGACAGGGTGCCATAGGGTTTTCATTGGCTGATTTCAGAAAACATGTAACTGATCTTTTTTCATGGTCATTCTGAGTGGACTTCAACCTCCAACCTTTCTATTAATTGTCAAGCTCATTAACTGTTTGCATTCCCCAGGCACCTAGGAAAAAACTCAGAAAAGACACAGAAAAAGTAAAAAACACAATCATCAAACGTGACCCCATAGACTAATACTGAGCACTGTGCTCCACAACAAAACAATACACACATTTTACAGTGCATATGGAACGTTCTCTAAAATCATCCATAGGATAGACCACAAAGCAAGCCACGATAAGCTCAAAAACATAAACGTACTGAAAGTTATCTTCACAGATCACCAACATAAAATTAGAAATCAGCAATAAGAAGAGCAAGGCAAAAACTTCCTGAATTGAAATTGATTAACAGCCAGCTTCCAGCTTAGCCGCTACTGGGGAGAAGGAGGAATAAAAATAAATAAATAAAAATTTTTGAATCAAAACATACCAGAACCTTTTGGGAAAGAGCAAAAGCAGTGTTCAGAGGTCACTTTATAGCTACAAACACACACGACAAAAGCAATAATGAAACTCAACACCTTAGCCCTACATCTCCAACAATAAGAAAATCAGCAGCAACATAAGCCTACAGCTACCAAAAGCAAGGAAATAGTAAAGATAAAGCAGAACTAAATTAAACTGAAAACAGAAAAATAACAGAAAGAATCCGTAAGACAAAAACCCGATTTTTTAAAGGACTTAATGCAATTGACAAACCACTAACAAATATAATTTAAAAAGGAGAAGATGCAAATAACACAAACAAGAAATTGTACGGCCGGCAGTAAAACAGAACCAAAAGGATATGAACAGAATACTAGGATTAACTGTTCTCAAAGTATATTGAAAAGCAAGGAGATTCTATGGGAAAATGTTGTATCTGCATTTTTCAAAAGTTGATTTTTAAATTTCTACAGTAACAGTGCAAACATTTTTGACTCACCCTCCTATTTGTCAACATGGATAAGCCTTGAGATGTTGAACTGATGAGCCTTGGTTAGTAAAGGCTGATTAGAGCAGCCTTGCAAGCATAGATTCTCCTAGGGACCAATATGGAAATCCTTCAGTCAATTCAGCTGTGTGAAAGAGCAAAGGACGCTGGGAATTGCTTGTGAGCAAAGTGACATAAGATGTGTCAGTATTCTGTAATTGTCTTCCATTTCTGATGCTATGTAATTATCCTATCTGTTGTAAACCCTAACCTTTATGATGTTGGTGGTGCTGGTGGTTATGTGCCTAGGAGTTGGTTCTGAATCAGCAATCCTGTCATATCTTCACAGGAACAAAGACTCTTGTCTTTCTCAGGCTGAGTGGCTGGTAGATTAGAACTGGTGACCTTGCAATAAGCAGCCCAATTACTAACCCACTATGCTACCAGAGCTCTTAGTGAGGAAGAATTAGTGGCAGGTCAGTCAGTCTCCTTTTGGTAGTGGTGGTGGTTGTGGGCCACCAGTCCAATTCTGACTTCTAGTCACTCTGTATATAGTTTCTGATGCTATAAATCTTTATGGGAGTAGAAAATCTTGTTTTTCTCCCATGGAGCAACTGGTATATTCAAACTGCCTCATTGACTGTTTAAGCTGGACTGCAAGGTCAGTTTTAACTGCAAAGTCGGTAATTGAAGTTCACCAGCTATTTCTTGTAAACCCTATACAGGGTCACTATGGGTCAAAACCAACTCGACAGCACTTAACAACAACAACAACAACAACAACATACTCAGCCTTACCTCCATTAGTCTGACATGTGAAGAATCACCAGGCATTCCCTGTTTTAATGAATGTGTCCCTAAGCACCACCCATCTTTAAACAAAGCCCTACAGAGCTGTTGGCAATAAGGACAGGCTTACCAGTTGCTCCTCAGAATCCCTATACAGAGTCACCATGGGTCAGAACCAACTCAACGGCACTTAACAACAACAACAATGAAGGACCCAGTTCTTATCTTCTCACATACAGAGTCCCTTGTAAACGGTAGACTCATGCTACTGAGGGTGCCCAATATACAGGAGAAGAGTCATAGGTGCTCACACAAAACAAGAGATTGCAGTTCTTATAGGGTCTGGTTTTAAATGACAATTCTGAGTAGGAAAAACTCAGAATTGGGAGAAAAAAGGAGAGAGAGAAAAGGAGAGCAATTTAGAAATACACCATGTTGTAACAATTGTTTATCAGGGATTTCAAATTCACTCTCTTTGGTAACATACTGTGTTTTCTGCCTCAGTTGGTAGAGGAAAAATAAAGAGAGACTTCTTTTTGCTCTTGTTAAGCTCATTGATTTGAATGTCCTTTTAGGATTTAATTCAATGGATCCCAGGAAGAGATTGTTCCCAACCCATGCATCTAACACTTAAAGACAGTTAACCTGAAATTAGCTGATACCAAAAAATCATCTTACTAATCCTCTTATATGGAGACACAACATGGATCATCATAATTGGCAAGGGAACTATTTATTTTTCTAGATTCTTTGGGTACAAACAAAACGTAAAAGGTATTTATCTTCTACAGTTTGAAATGTATCCTCTTTTGCACCTCTTTAGGGTCTCTGATACTTTCTTCAAGTGACAAGATCATTTGAGATGTATCCTGAAGAGGGAACCCACCTTTCATTGTTAGCACTGAATACCCTTTCTCTTTTTTGCAAACACAGAAACATTTTACTCTGCGTTGCTCACAAGAATGACCCACACTCCCCTTTGCTCTTTCCACACTGCTGATGAGATTTGCATATTGTTCCCCTGGGAGGACCTTCCCTTGAAAGTCTGAGATAAAAGGTCAGCTGGAATCTGTCTTACTTATTAAGATTCATCAGTTCAACATCTCAAAATGAGGTTCTCTGCTCAGCTTCTGGGGCTGTTTATGCTCTGGATTCCTGGTGAGTACAGACAGAAAGGAGAGAAGGGGTGGAGAAGAGGAGTCTACTCTGGGAATTGGACACATGGATTACTTCAGAAATGTGCATGTAAATGCTGCGTTTGATATGTGGCAAAGAATTGAGAAGGAGCCAAGATCTGTTATCTGGTAAAAACTGCCGTAACAAAATAGGGGTCACAGTAGGAAAACTTGGAGTATGAAGGATAAAATTGTACATGCAAAAACAAAAGTTGGAAAATATGAAAGTATATTTCCCCCCCCAAAAAAAAAAAAATTTACAAAAAGCAGTCCTGAAAATGACACATAATTTTTGGATATAACCTTGTTTTTTCTCTTCCATTATTTTAGTCTCTAGTGGAGATATTTTCCTGACCCAGAGTCCACTCAACAAGCCCATCATACTTGGAGAGTCAGCCACCATCTTCTGCAAGTCTAGTCAGAACCTTAAAGATAGTGGTGGAGACACCTATGTGAACTGATACCAGCGGAAACCAGGCCAAGCTCCACGGCTTCTGATCTATGTGGTTTCCAACAGGTTCACTGGGGTCCCAGACAGGATCAGCAGCAGGGGTCTGATACAGATTTCACTCTGAAAATCAACAGAGTGGAGGCTGAGAATGTTGCAGTTTATTACTGTCAGCAAGGTACAGAAAATCCTCCCACAGTGATAGAGTCCTACACAAAAACCTGTGGTTAATGTGGTCCAGTAGCCCATATGTGTGGCATGTCTGAGAGCAGGCACAGTACATTCTCTGACTCTGCTAAAGAGGAAGATGTTAGATAAGTCAGGAGGATGGGTTGGGACTGAGGCAGGATAAGGGGCAGGTATTTTTATGCAGCTGTCAGGCTCTAGGCTCTAGGCTTAATGGAACACCAAATAAATGTGATATGTGCAAAAAAAAAGTAACTGGTTCAAAGCTATGTGTGTACAAAAATTAATTGGTTCTAAAACTAAAAGAACAAACTCAGAGACTCTGGGAGGGCAGTCTAAGACCAAAACAAGTACAATGCAAAAGAAGGTGAACAC